GGGAGAGGGAGAGGGAGAGGGAGAGGAGAAGAGAAGAGAAGAGAAGAGAAGAGAAGAGAAGAGAAGAGAAGAGAAGAGAAGAGAAGAGAAGAGAAGAGAAGAGAGAGAATGGGATATTATGTGCATGCTATCATTTAGATTTCCTTCTTGATCATTTACTAAGTAAAAGGCCAAATTCTTACCCAGGGCAGAGGCCACTCAAGGCAGAAGAGAAATGAGTTGGTTGCATCATCCAGGCCATAAACCAACTCTGAAGTTCTTTTTGGCAACTTGTGTACTTGCTACCTACCTGGAACGAAGTGGGGGAAGTCAGCTGAATTTAAACATTAACAGTTTAAAATAATAAATATGATCTAATGCCTTACACCTATTCTGATCAGTGAGGGAGCATTAAAATAAGCTGGCTTGGGAAAAAGCTTCACTGAAAACAGTTTGTTGTTACTGAGTAAAACATGATTTATACATGTCCTATAACCCACCTTTCTGCTCCTATATATAAAACACCTTTGAGCCCAGCCGGGTGTGGCTCAGCGGTTGAGTGTCAACCTAAAATCCAGGCGATTGGGATTCGATTCCCGGTCAGGGCACATGCCCGGTTGTGGGCTTGATCAATGACTCTCTCATCATTGATGTTTCTATCTCCCTCTCTCCCTCTCCTTTCCTCTCTCTGAAATCAATAAAGATATTTAAAAAAAACAAAACAAAAAAACACCTTTGAGAAACTAAAGTGTGCACTAGGCACAGGAATGGCCATGGCAGTGTTGTTTGTAGTAGCCAGAACTGCTCATCAACAGGATGGATAAATAAATTTCACTCTGAAATTATACAGCTGCACACATTAATGAATCTTAAAAACATGATGTTACGCAACACAGTTGTAGAATACATACAGTATTTCATTTATATAAATTTCAAAACATGCTAAACTGAGCAGTATATTATTAAGAACAAAACATGGTGACTCTGTAAAAAAATGAATAAGCACAAAATTCAGGACAGAGGTTAATAATCCCTGAGGGCGGAGGCAGAGGGAGGGGATCAGGAAGTGCCCATGGAGTAGCAGAGCTGCCTAGCAACTTTCCATGCAGGTCCCATTGCAAAAATGAAAAAGGCCGCAGAATCAGACCTATCTTCAGATTGAGGTTTTTCTACTTTACAAGTAGGTGTCAATTTAATTCCAGAGTCCCGACCCAATATTTTCTGGTGATTATCTCCTCTAGAAAGCGAAGGAAATCCTTGCTGGCCAAAGCAGCTATGATGTCAGCCAGTTCCTCTGAAACATGCACTGTTTGTGCCTATTAGCATAACTTTAGTATCTCATTCCCTCCTGATTGGTTAGTGATTTGCAAGCAGTTTTAAAAATCGTACTTCCCGGGTTCTTGGGATAATGAAAACATCCCATTTACCTGTTGACGAATAAGATGTTCTTTTACATTATTAGAAGGGTGAGAACAACTCCCTGAGATGTTTTCCTAGTCATTTGCGTAACAGGAATTGTCCTGCCACAGTGGTTGAGAGGAGCTGTTGCAGGTTTGAACATGCTCATATAGGTGAGGGATGGAAATTAGAGTACACAGCCTATTTAGATCAGGAAGCAAGGGTGCCTGTACATGAAAGAAGGAACTTCAAACGGAAGCACAGTGGCATTGGTTGGTCACAGTGTGTAGTCCTCACCTGTCCAACCAGTGAGCTTGCCCCTCCTCACAGCCACACACTCGTTTGGGATGTGTGATATGTTGTCTCCTCCTAGGGGTGGCTGGAGTTCATGCAGCTTGGAAAGAGTGAAAACCCTACCTCATACACAGCTAATTTCTTACAGCTTGTCTTCATAAACAGATTGACCTGTTCCCTACCCAGAAAAGCATCTTTTTGCTCTGCAGGCCTGAGTCAGAAAGAACCTCACACTAGCAGCAGACAGGCAGAAGGAGCTGAGAGCAGGTGCAGACTTAAGAACAAACAGGGGTTCACATTAGTGCAGGCACATGACTCAGCAGAGATTTACAGGCCTGCGAGGCAGGCGTGGCCCTGAGCCCAGGGTAAGTTGTTTTGGGCTGTTGCCCATTCTACCCTGTGGTTAGGTCATTCTTCATCAGCTTGTAAGTCATGGAAAAACCATACCCCATAAACCATTTAGTGACCTATTCCCTGGGCAGGTGATCCTGGCCAGCCGCAGGGCCACCTCTCTCTATTTGGCTAGGGCTTTGAGAACTGTGCTGCTTTGTTCGAGAGTATGGTTTGAAATGAAATTTCTTCCCCACATCAGACCTTCCCTCCATAAAATAAACCAAAGGATGGGGGGCGGTCTTCCTTCGGCCCATCTGCTTTCCTAGGTGTCACCTTAGCTTGCTGGTTTTTACCCAAAGATCCTTATAAAAGGGCCTGTGCTTCCTGCTCATTCTCTTCCCTTATGTTGCCGGCCTTTGCGCCAGGCTTTACTAGCCTCATGGAATTCAAGAAAGATTACCGTCCTTCATACTTCATGTCAGTGATTAATCCTATATCAGCTCTTCATCCCAGTTATGAGGATTTGTTACAAACTCCAGTTGACTGTTTCTCTTTGTATTACTCAAATGTTGTTTGGCTTTAGGTTTTTCCTGGTTATTTATTTATTTTTTTTAAATATATCTCTATTGATTTCAGAGAGAGAGGAAAGGAGAGGGAGAGAGAGAGATAGAAACATCAATGATGAGAGAGTCATTGATCGAGCCTGCAACCCGGGCATGTGCCCTGACCGGGAATTGAACCCCGATCGCCTGGATCCTAGGTTGACGCTCATCCTCTGAGCCACGCCCGGCCGGGCTTTCCTGGTTATTAATGAATGTTAAACATGCTCATTATTTTAAAAATTAAAAAATTATAGAAATACAGAGTATGGAAAGGAAAGCCCTCCCCCAAAGTACTTATGCCTTCTGTGAAAGAACTGTTACCAGTTTGGTGATGTTCCTCCAGATATTTTTCTGTACTTACTCTAACATGGGAACTAACCATTCCAATTGTGTTCAACATTCTCTTTCACCAAATAGTATGCCTCAGACATATTCCACTAAAACACCTGACTTTTTTTAACAGCCTCATAGCATATAGATGTATGGACTGTAGTTTAAATCTTTTTTTTTTTTTTTTGGTGTCTAATTTTTTAGAACGACAGTGAACATCCTTTTATGTACATCTTTATGCACTTACAATAGTAGTACTCCAAGAAAAAGTCTTGAAGGAGAAATTGCTGGTTAAAGGGTTAAATTTTGAGAGCTATTGCCAGAGTTTACTCTTAAAATGCTACAACTCACATTCCTCCCAACAGCAGTATATGAGAGGGCTTGTTTGGCCATACCATCAGTAACAGTGGCTGCTAGCAACCATGTTAGCTCGTGTCAGTGGAATAGGTTAAAAAATCAGATCTCATATTTGTTTTTGTTGTTTTGCTTTGTTTTTGTTTTTTGCTGTTAAGTTGAGCATCTTTTCAAATGCTTATTGCCTACTTCCATTGGGCATTAACAAAGCATTTTGCAGCTTAAGATTTAAGTTTATCGGGGAGCGGTTTCTTGGGAGAGTGTTGATTGCTTTCATAGACCAGAGTAATGTGTTTCTTACTTATGTCCTCCACAGCAAACAGCGGCATAACAAGCTCTGGAGATCTCATTCAGATAGCGACCTCTCAGACCACCATGAACCCATCTGCAAACCAGGGCTAGAACTCAACAAGAAGGAGATCACCACCTCAGCAGACCAGATTGCCGAGGTAAAGACCATGGAAGGTCACCCACCCATACCTCCTGTCTTTGTGGAACATGTTGTCCCACAAGGTGAAAATCAGAAAGGCCTGTGTACCAAAGAAAGAATGATCTGCTTGGAGTTTACGTCTAGGGAATTTCGTGCCGGACAGATTGAAGATGAATTAAACCTAAATGACATCAATGGATGCACATCAGGGTGTTGTCTCAATGAATCAAAATTCCCTCTTGACAACTGCCATGCATCCAAAGCCTTAATCCAACCTGGACAGGCCCCAGAAATGCCCAACAAGTTCCCAGACTTAACAGTTGAAGATTTGGAGACAGACGCACTGAAAGCAGACATGAACGTCCACTTACTGCCAATGGAAGAATTGACATCTCGCCTGAAAGACCTCCCTATGTCCCCTGATCCTGAGTCACCAAGCCCCCAACCCAGTTGCCAGGCTGAAGTCTCAGATTTCAGTACAGATCGCATTGATTTTTTTAGTGCCCTAGAGAAGTTTGTAGAGCTTTCTCAAGAAACCCGGTCACGATCTTTTTCCCACTCAAGGATGGAGGAACTGGGTGGAGGAAGGACTGAGAGCTGTCGACTGTCAGTGGTAGAAGTAGCCCCTTCTGAAGTGACAGCTGATGACCAGAGAAGCAGCTCTTTAAGTAACACTCCCCATGCGTCAGAAGAATCTTCAATAGATGAGGAACAGTCAAAGGTAAAAACTATCTTTATAATTCTCCACTTAATGAAGTTCTCTTTGAAGACAAAATATTTGGGATTCTGCTATGTTCACTTTATTTTTAATGTGACTAAAGATTTAGGAAGGCAATATGGGAGAGAGTCTGGCCGAGACTTTCCTTGAAAACTTAGGGTTTAAATATTTTTTTAAATCAGTTGCCTTTTGAGGAATGTATCATTGGAAGCACTTCTGAGAGGGGATGAGGGCAGAAGCGATTAATAAAAATAATGTCCTGGCTGAACAAAGGGCAGTCCCCTCCCTGAACCTCTGCAGTTCAGATCAAATCTTACCAGTAATGAAGTGCCAGGGACTTATATGCTGCCTGAGTGAGACTTGGGTCTCTCTGAGAAGATGGATTTGTTTGGAAAATTCTTTCTATCTCAGAAAATTCTTAGACATGTGTAAATAGTTGTTGGAGTAGCACCTGATTCTCATGCTGAGTTCTTGCTATTAATAATGTTTCTGAATTATTCCTCAACTCGGACGCGGTGGTATTCAGGAATTGAGGGATGGTTTGGGGAAGTGATCTGTGAGCAGACAGAATCTCAAGATTCTTCTCATAGGAGCTCTTATGAACCATCTCAGACCAGGGAAAGAATTACTGTCTATCACTGTTTCTAAGGCTCACCCTTATTCTCATTTTGACACTTCTGAAATTGGGATGCATTTTCATCAATACAATACAGCAGTTGGAAGTAAATGGTGACGGGTTTACTCTAACATACCAAACCTCACTTAATGAATTCAGTGGGGCTGAGTGGATTCTTGACATCCCCTGATGTCTATCTCCTTATATTTACCACCTCATCCATTACTCATCTTTTCTCTCTCTTTTTAACTACCTGAAGGCAGTCGTTGCCTCTGCTTCTGTCTTCTCCTGTCCACAAAGGCTGTCCCTCTGTTTCAAGTCTACTGGGAAATGTGAATATTTGAGCTCTTCTTTGGACCAATGGGTGCAGCAGCTCTGACAGAAATAGCTTTTTTGCAAAGTCCTTGGTCATATGAGCAGTCCCTCCACGGCCCATGTACACACCAGCCCGCTGTGGCGTCTCTCCCAGGCTTGGCAAGTTTGCCTCTGCCTGATGTCCCAGCAGATTTCTCCCAAAGGCATAACTGACCTTGTTAGTTTGCACTAGCTCTGACTCTCTTTTGAAGGGAAAAGACCAGAACAATTTCTAGGGAAATATTATACTTTGAGGGCTTATAAAAATGTTAAAGTAGATTGGTGGTCATAATGATGTCACTTTAAGAAGTGTCCAGGGGCCATTTCCAGAATTTGAAATTCTTCTTCTTTTTCTTTTTCTTTTTTTCCCAAAAGGACTTGATTTTGCATTGGCCAATTTTCTTTGGCCTTGTTCTAAATACATCTGGAAATTCATAACTGGTAGAACAATAAAATGTTGCCCTGGCTGGTGTTGCTCAGTGGTTAGAGCATCAATCTGAGCACTGAAGGGTCTCGGGTTCAATTCCCAGTCAAGGACACATACCTCGGTTGCAGGTTCGCTCCCTGCCCCGGTGGGGGCACGTGTGGGAGGCAACAATCAACGTGTGTCTCTCGCGTCAATGTCTCTCTCTTTTTCCTCCTTCCTCCCTCCCTTCCACTCTCTGAAAAGCAACAGAAAAAAATATCCTCAGGTGAGGATTAACAACAACAAAAATGTCAGCAAGCCACGGTTTCTAAATTTGCTCAGGCACAGGGCCGCATAAGCCAAGTGAATGTTTCCCAGGAGAAGCATGTGCAATTAGGAATTGTGTGATCAGGTACATGGTGCCCTTGTGTGCTGGGCCGCTGCCGCTAGGAGAAGTGGGAGGACATGGATGAAAGCTGGCAACGCAGAAGCGAGAAGAGAGCAGTGAGTCTGCAAATCAGACATCAGGGGGTAGCCTCAGCCTTGCCTTGTCTAACACTGGGCATATTTAAGGTGGGCATATCTAACACTGAGCCCTCGAATGGAACTCTTCCCCTCAAACTAAGTTAGGCTCTAACTGGAAGTTGATTTAGGCCAGAGAGGAAAGATTTCATTTTCTCCAGTATCACCTAAGTTCTGAAGGCTCAAGGTCTTAGGAAAATTAGGAGCCTCCAATGCTATCTGCTGTTAATTTTTGGAGCAAGATATTAGATTGGCATCCTATTTGAGTAAACAGAACAGAAAGTTCAGTAGACAGTGATACAACCTGTAACTAATTTTGTATCTCTGCCTTTGATGAATCTGTTTTTCTCTTGTATGACAAAACAGATGGTCAGAGTACAATCCTCGGCAGAGGACAGTCCCAGGCACTCCACAGTTTGTGTCCTCGTAGTTGGAAGGTTCTCCTGGACCAGAGGATTAGTAAGCAAAAAATCTGGCATTTTCAATTAGACTACGATTCACCATAACCATCTCGCTATGTTTTCTTCTTAGGCAATCTCAGAACTGGTCAGCCCAGACATTTTCATGCAGTCTCTCTCAGAAAATGCAATTTCAGTCAAAGAAATTGTCACTGAGATTGAATCTATCAGCCAAGGAGTGGGACAGATTCAACTAAAAGGAGACATTTTATCCAACCCATGCCATACACCAAAGAAGAACACCACCCATGAGATGCCCCTTGAGAGGACCCAGGTCCCAGAGAACAAACCTGGAAATTTGGAGCCGAATGAGGGTTCCTGCTCAGCCCAGCCTGAACTAGCCAAAGACTCAGGGAAGTGGGACCCAGAGGGCTGCCCAACTGTGCACTCATCCACCACAGACTTGGAAGAAGAGGAACCAGCTGAGGGGGAACAAGAGCTCTGGGGCCCAGGGATGCACCCAGGTGCCAAGTGGTGCCCTGGATCCGTGAGAAGAGCCACCTTGGAGTTTGAGGAGCGATTGCGACAGGAGCAAGAGCACCACGGTGCCACCCCTGTTTGTACCTCATTGACCACTCGCAAGAATTCCAAGAATGATTCCTCTGTGGCAGACTTAGCACCAAAAGGGAAGAGTGAAGAAGCCACCCTAGAACACTCATCTGTCACCAGGGAACCAGATATCAACAAGGGCAAAGAGAAATGCAGTGGGTCCGAGGCTGGCTCACTACCACATTGTGAGCAAGATGTCATTGTTCCAGCACCCAAGTTGCTGGATTTTCACCCCTTGCCAGCTCCTCAGGAGTGCCTGGAGTCAGAGACTAGAACCAAACAGCAAGGAGTCCTGAAGGAGCAGAGGACTGTGGTTTCATGCCAGGGATTTGAGACACAGGCAGTCCCTCTTCCCAGGAAGATAGAAATCATTGAGTACACACACGCAGTTACATCACCAAGTCACACTGAGTCAGGGGAGGGAATAGCCACCAGTGAGACAAGTGGGGAGCAAGGACTGAGGAAAGTGAAAGTGGAGAAGTCCATCACTATGCTCTGTGCACTGGATGAAAATCTGAACAGGACGCTGGGCCATGACCAGGTTTCTCTGTACCCCAAAGTGCTACCTCTGCCTCATTCTTCCTCTCCTGAGCACAACAGGCCCACTGACCTGACCTCCACCCTGAGCAGCCCTGAAGACTGGGACAACAGCCCGACAACAGCCCTGGACACAGCAACTCCTTTTGTCAGTCACACAACCCATGTACCATCTGCCAACCTGGATTACCTGCATCCCCAGACCGTGGTTCACCTGGAAGGCTTCACAGAGCAAAGCAGCACCACAGACAGTGAGCCCTGTGCGGAGCAGGGTCACTGGGAAGAAAGTCAGGAGGGCCTTCTGTCCAGTGGCAATGAAGTGCCATATGAGGGCTCCCAGTTACGTAGTGAAGACCTAAGTTTAATTTGCAAACTTAGTGACAACATTGGGAAGTTACAAGAAAAACTGGACCCATCACCTATAGCCTGTAGACTCCCACATAGCTCTAGTAGTGACAATATAAAGGGTCTTAGCCACAGCCCCAGTGTGGTGAAGGAGCACACTAAAGAAATGGAGTCCCAAGTGATTTGCCAGGTAGGGCTCACCAAACCATCCCAAATGAGGCATGCAGCTTCCCTCGCCAAGTTAGGTTACTTGGACCTGTGTAAAGACTGTTTACTGTGGAGGGAGCCTCTCTCCTCCGAGTCCCCTCATCTCAAACTTCTTCAGCCCTTCATCAGAACAGACTCAGGCATGCATGCCATGGAAGCCCAGGAACCCCCAGAAAACTCAGATGCCCCTCAGAACCCAGAGCCCACCAAGTATTTTATAGAGCAACTTAAAACAATAGAGTGTATCGCACAGAGCAAGCCAGTGGAGAGGCCCCTTGTACAGTATGCCAAAGAATTTGGTTACAGTCAGCAGTGTTTGCTCCCCAAGGCAGGACCTGAATTGACTAGTTGTGAAGGAGGCCTTCCTCTGCCGCAGACCCAGGGGCTGCAGCATGCAGGCCCAGCTCCAGAGCTGGCTTTGGCTCCCTGTGAGCAACACAGCAGAACTCACCCCCTTAGGAGACTGAAAAAAGCAAATGACAAAAAACGGACAACCAACCCCTTCTATAATACCATGTGATTCTGAGCCTACACATGTGACTTTCTAAAAGAAATGTTTGTAAAAGGGGCAGGTGTAATATGTAAGGAACATGCACTTTATTGGTTAATTTTATAATATTTTGGTCATTTTACTGTGTCTGGCGCATGCAGGGTTTGGGGCTTTTTCCCTCTGTGTATGTATGAGAGAGAGATTGATTTGGATGGCAAGACCATTTTATCATTTTTTATTTTTAGAAAATTCAAACCTCAAAATATAGTCATTTTCAGAGAACACCTTTGTCAAAGGCAAATTGCTGTTTTTCAATCAACTGCCACCTGCTCCTTTTGCCCTCTGAGAAAAGGCATGCTTGCTTGATTGAGGAAGAACGCAGATGGGGAGGGTGGGGGGTGAAGCCGGAAATTGAAAATGCTCCCCCTGGGCCACTGTGACGACGGTTTGCTCTCCAGACCTGATGCATCAGATGAGCTGAAGGGCAGCGGGACATCAGCATGCTCAGCCTCGGTCCCCAGTCCTAGCCCTTTGGAGTTCCTGAAGTGGACAGGTTCTGCTACTTTCAAAGGGAGTATTCGAGAATCCATTTCTTCTGGTATTCCTGAGTGGATCATTCCAAAAAGGCGTGATGATGGCTGACTTTGTAAGCTTGTCAAGCAATTCGTTTTTGTTTTTTTATTAAAAGTAAACCCCAAATGAAATCTGAGAGGCCTTCTCTAGAGGAGAGCATAAGAAGGAGGTGAAATGGGGGCGGGGGGGGGAGGAGACTGCTGCCCACTACCTTCAGGGTAATGGGCTCCACACAGGTGGCCCTGGCCCTCCCTGCCAGGAAACGTGCTCTGCAGCATCCTCCCAACAGACACAATAGGGACAAGTTTGAAAAACAGCAATTGAAAGTCAGTGTGTTCTTGTAAAATGAATACATATGTAGGGTTTTAACCCTTCCATTACTTGAATAATTCTTTGGGCCTCTGAGTTTAATGGCCATATTTTTTCCAATTTATCTTCCTCCCTCATGCTGTTTCTCCCAGTGCTGCCTTTTTTTTTTTTATAGATGATATTTGAATTGTTACATTTGTATAACCTCCATTGAATGCAGAGTTTTCTTTTTGATATTATCACTGCTAACACTTGACATGAGTTTTTTTTCTCTTTCTTTTCCTGGAAGATTTGTCTTTCTCTAGTTTTCACACAGTATTTATGTACATAATGTTGTCATTTTCTTGGAGTATTTTGTTGATGTCATAGGGTCTCTTTGATTTCTTTTTAAGGAATAAAACTGCAACTGGAAAACACAGACAACAGAAATAAAACTGATGGGTGTTGGTAGGAATCTGCAGAGTATATTGATAGTTGTTTTTTTTAAATGGAGACTTCTAATTGCCAGCTCCTGCCAAATTAAGCATTAGTAACTTCCTCCTCAGAGAAACCCTTAAAGGTTCCCATTAGATCACAGTTTGACTGAAGGCTGAGTCCTCAACTGAAATCCCAGAAAGTTGTTTGCAGTCACTGAACCACAGCCAGGGAGTGTATGGGAGTGTTAACTACTTCCCAGGGTGGAAGCTCCTAATGGATTAAGCTGAAAGGTTGCAGGGAGGCCTCAGCCAAGGGCAGGCGCCCTTACTGACTCCATTTAGGATGCTGTTGCTTTGCTGCTGCTGTGGAGATCCTTAACACAGGAGCACCTGCCATAAACAAGCCTATTTCAGCTTCTTACAGAAAACATTTTTAGCCTGGAATGAAGGACCCTCATCAAAACTGAAGAGGTTTGCAAATTTGCTTCCTGTTTGCTTTGGTTGATATCCACATTGCTGAGAGATTGACCAAGTACAGACTTGAGATTTAGGTTTTTGGTTCATCACAGCACTGAAAGGAAAAGACAGATGCACAGACTGCCAAGGTGATGTCAGAGGCCAGTGTTTGGTGGGACAGGTGGTAGGGTGACCCAAAGGAGAGAGAAAGGGCCACTCATAGGTGCTCGAGAAGCTGTGAATCCAGTTGCCATGTGGAAGCTGTGGTTGCATCTGACATCACTGCCAGGAGGCATATTGGACAGAAACCTGCTATATGTGTAGAAACCTGCTTTATAGTGTAGTAATTATATGTACCTGTGCTGTCCCTAAATCGTTTCCTTAAATGTCCAAATGTATCATTCACACAGCTTTGTGATTCCTGGATATTGAATGTGTTGTAAAGTGTTTTGTTAGGTGGCATGTACCAGTGTGAGGAGGCTTGCAAGACAGGGTTGTGAATTTCCAGGGCTCATCCACCTAAACTGCTGTCTTGTTGAAGCAATTCCACCACCACTGTGATGGGGAAAGGACAGGACATTTTGGCAGGGCTGGGAAGAGGAAGATTGCCTGGAGGTTAAAAGAGTGGTGTCCATTCATGTTAATCCCTTGAGATGGTGACATCCCTCATGTTAAGAAGTACAAGCAGGACAGACAAGATTGCACTGTTCTCTCTCCTCCCCTCCCACTGTGTTTGATGCTCAGTCTCGCTGCGTTAAATAACAACGAAGATGGGGAGCGAACCTTCTACTGCTGTGAAGAAAAACAAAAACTTTTTTTTAAAGAGTAGAGCAGCAGTTTGCAACCTTTTTCATCTCGTGGCAACATAAACTAGTTACTAAAATTCTGTGGCACACCAAAAAATATATTTTGCCAATCTGGAAAAAAAAGTGTAATTTTTATTGATTTTTTAAAAAATAGTAATTACCTACCCTTTTTGCTCTGAAGTGACTTTTTAAAAAATCAGGTGCCTATACTTGTATAAGGATTTCTGGTACCAAGAATTAACCAATCAGACACAACCTTAGTATGAGAAGCGACCAATAAGATGCAACTCACTCTTTTATATGACCCATATATTTAGGGTTCAAGACCAATATATTTATGGGGCAGTCACACCCCATAGCTATTGTTATCTTGGCTGTTGTCATATTTTTTACAATCTAAAGGAAAAGAGGTCAATGCCCCTGACTAAATAGGTATTACGTGTTTAAAAAATTCTTGCAGCACACTGGTTGAACATTGCTAAAGTAGAAAAAACGTTCTTGTTTGCCTTCCATTTTTAAAAATATTTTTTATCATTTAAGTTACCTGCCTAAATAAATGTCCTCTACACAGGGTCTGTAATTCAACCGATGCCATGGGGGTTTGCCATTCCTCTCAAACTCCAGCAACCGAGTGTTCTTGTGTTGTTCACATAGCTGAGCGATGTCCAGGGAAAGAACATGATGCGCTATCAAGGATTTTTCAGACTCTGTTCTCTTCAAACTTTTGATAATCTTGGGTGGCCTATTTCCATTTCCTGTTCATGGAAAACCCAGCCCTGGAACAGCAGGTCTGGGATGAGTAGGAAAGTCCTTGACCTCTTGCTCAGTGCCTCTCTTTATTTTGAAAACCACCATAATCTGACTCTCAATTACTCTGTAGGAGCAAGTGTGTGTAAGTGTGTGTGTGTGTGTAAAAAGAGTAACATTTTGGTCCCTGGGGTAAAAGCCCCAGGAGCACACAGATTTTGAGCTGTAATCTGGATGGTTACCTGGTCAGTAAGGAGAGAAATCCCTGCCCTTTCTTAATTTTAGAAACACTTAGGAGTAGCGTATATTGTAGTAGACGTGTAGCACTGTAGTACAGTAATGATCATCTCTCCTCATTTTGGTTGCCTTTCAGATTCTGAATGTTTGGGATCATTCCTAGCATCTCAGCCTCTTCCAACTCTATCTAGCACTGTCCTGGTTCTGTACCTTTATCCCTACCATATTTCCTCTCTCTCATTTTGGGAATTACCAAGAGCTCCGAGGACAGCCTGAGGATGACAACTAGGTTCTGAGGGCCCGTCCTGCTAAAGGGCCGCAGGCAGATGCTGTTGGATAGACCTGAAGCTTCTGAGACGTGGCAGCTCACAGAAATCTCCACCTGTTCCATCTGAGGATTTCAGTTCTGAAGTGATCTGGGCATGTTTGGTAAAGATGTTTTTGTGGGAGTTTTTTTTGTTTTGTTTTTTTAAGAAAGCATTATGCAAAATGGGTCACTTTTAAGGGCATTTTTAAATAAAGCCATTCTTTGGCTTTTTTTTTTCCTTTGGACAACTATTTGTGGATACTTTGTTTACATTGTGTGAGTATTAAAATGTGCATCATCTTGACGGCAGCTCAGTCTCCTCCTGCAGGGACCCAGCCTGCCCTGTGAGCCGTGGCGCAGAGCAGGGCGGTAATGGTCAGCCCTTGTGGGTAAGCAGGGAAAGCCTGGAGCCGACTTCCACCTGTGTTCTGCACTCCCATCCAGCACTCTGTATGGAAATAGTCATCATTTCCTTAGTGATGGTGTGTCTTATAGTGACGGTTGTACTGGTGAATGGCTAGTGTCATTTTTGTTTAATTTTGTTTTGCTTTTTGACGGTAGATGAGATGAAATTTTAGCTCTTTCATCACCAACCCAACTTGAAAGGATCTTGGATTTTGTTTTCCCCTTCAAACTAAAACAACAAGGCATGTATTAGACAACTGTATTTGGTGTCTCAACTCATCCGATCTCCATGTTAGGAAGAAGCCGCCCACTCCTAGCCCTTCTCCCAGGGCTGGGGCCCCTTGATGCCGTGGACAGCTCTTGCAAGGTGCTTCTGTACTTTTCCAGCCTGGAAGTGGAGGGTGACTCAGCCTGACTCCTGCTATGAAAAAAGAACCAGCCTCATTTTCTCAGTGCCCCAGAGATCTAGGACAGGATTTCTAAACTGGAATCACCCCTCATGGGCTTGAAGACGCCCCAAGGGATATGTGACTAGTGCTGCCATCTGTGTCCTCACCATGACACTGGTGGCAGCATCCTGTACACACATGCAGAGCTGATGATGCCCAGGGCTTAACTCGAGCTGATGACCCAACCTGAAAACTGGGTAACTGGCCCTGAAGTGTTTCCCAATCAATAAGCCCACAGGGAGTTGTTTGGTTTTTATGTTTTATTGGATTTTGGTTTGCTCGGTATAGCTTAAGGTGCCTTTTCTTTCCTTTTTTTTTTTCTTTCTACATTATTTTTTGTAAGACTTGTTATAAATGTGGAAAACAAGTCCAAAAGACTGTTACCTTCACCCCAGGCCACCCCAAACTTCTATGCTCACATTTTATTAAAGCAGGTGCTCCCTGGAATCTCTGGGACCTTTCTGAGGCATTTGAAGCAGAATATAGAGTGGTCTCATCTCCTTCCTTACTCTTCATGGTGGTTGGGATGTTCCACTTGTATCATAGATTTTTTTATTACTGATGTGCTCCGCTGTTTTTAAATGTGAACTTGTGCGCAAATGTGCAGATTCAATGTTCTTGTTACAGACTGAATAAATTTTTATTTTGAAGATGAACTACGTGTACTTAATCAGGTGCAACAAAGAGGGTGGGAGAAGGTGTAGGGATTGGAAGAGAACACTGATGATAAACATGAAGCAGTTCTTATTGATCCATCTCCATCAAGCACACCCTTAAGAGATGGCTGAGCTCTGGAAAAATAACTTTCTACCTCCCACAGAATAAAGACTGCATGGGAAATAGGATCACTAAAGATTATTTCAGATACTGTGACTCCCATCAAGTGACTAAGCTGGGAACTTGCCTGGTCAAAGAGGCTCTTGCCAAAGCCACCACCTGAATGTTAGGAGAATGAATAAGCAAAGGGAACCCAAATTCCTTCGCCATCTGTGGTGCAGAGCGACTGCTCTGGGACAGCTGCCCTGACCTGCCCCAGCAGGGACTGGAATTCTCGGGTGGGTGACCTCTCTGGACATGGGAGAGAGCTCACAAGCTTTCAGCACAACACCTCAGCTCCCTCAAAGGCTTCTAGAAATGACTCCAAAGAAGCAAAAACTGTAACCCTCTCCCACCATTAGAAGAGAATCATTTGATGTCAATGGGGGAGGAAGGGCAAGCGGGCAAAAGGGCAGTTCTCTAAAACAGGCTAGGGGGTGGGGGGAAAGGCTCCCGCTTCTTCCAGCCCTCCACAGACCCATCATGAGATATTAGTACCACTCATCACACACAGGACAGCACTACTATGGAGGAAAAGCCCAGTTTCCAAATTGCTAACAAAATGTAGTGCAATTTCCAAAGAAAACACTGTCTTGAATTACAATTGTCAGGCTGGTCCCTATCAAGTGAGAGGGGCGTAACACTGGTCTCTAGTTGCACGATAGTGAAGGTGAGATTATTTCACAAAATATTCTAGGGGTGCCTAGGTCCCCGCCAACCTAGGTAAGTTCAGCCTGGCCTTTCTAGCCAAAGCAAACGGGCCAAGTCATGTCTTAAGTTGCCAGGGCACCTCTTCCAGAAAATGGCTTTATGGAAGATGAAGCCCATGCTGGTCTTGGACAGGTACAGTCCAGAGCCCAGCTAACAGTTCGAACGGGTATCGAGAAGGGAAAGCACCAAGCCCAAGTGGCTGCTTCACCAGCTTGGCACTTTGTGCCTTGGCTCCGCCCACCCATAGCTCCGCCAGGGCTTGGCAGCCAGAAGAAGGCTAGAGGGCAGGTATGAGCCGGGCCACATCTAAGCATGCCTGTGACTCCTGGCTCCTGTACCTGGAGAGCAGCCCCCTTTCCCCATGAGGGAACGGAGGGCAGGCTGGGTTGAAGGAGCCCTGCTTCCTGGTCCCAGGCCTGTCCTCCAGGATGGAGTGCTTAGCTCTCTTTAAAGAGGGGGAGGGGACGGGGCAAGAAAAGATGCCCTTCCAGGATAGGAGGCGACATGTCAGACTCCTCTGCCAACGTGGTGCGGCGCTGGGAAGAACCCAACCTGGCCCTCCACTTTACAGCCCAGAAAGCTGCAAAAATAGGGTGACAGCCAGGAACTCCAGTTTTCTAAATAGTCCAGATGTCCTTTCCTCTGAGCCGCAAAGCATAACTCTCAGCGTCAGCACTTGTGAGATAAAGCGGCACTGCCCTTCAAGGAAGGGCAGAAACGCGTGGCGCTGGAAACCATGGACCTAGACACCAGACCACCTGGGTAAGAATCTCAACAGCACCAACTCCCAGTTGAGTGATGAGTAAGCTACTTAACTTCTGTGCCTCAGTTTTCCCATCTGTAAAATAGGGATAGTAGTAATATCCATCTCAGAAGACTGTTAGAATGGAATTCATATGTGTAAAGCCCTTAGGACAGCGTCTGGCACATAAGTGTAGGCTGTTGTTCCTAAGGAGCAACCGAGTCATTACGGTCTTTTCCTCCTAGCTTTGTGCCTGGGATCCTTAGGTAAACGGAAGGCTCCTCATCTACCCCTAGGGTCCCCCATAACATGAATTATTTCTGGAGCACTTGTAACAGTTTGATTCTGTCCCCCTACGAGTCACTGAGCACTTGAACTCGCCCTGAGAAAGGAGCCTTGTTCCCACCACCTTCCCTCCCCTTTACCAAATGCTGATCTCTGCCCCCTGGAAAACTGTTCCGTCGACTCCCAGCTGTGCCCTGGACAGTGGGGAGTAGTAACTGGCCGCACGCTGCTGCCCTCCGGGGCCTTAAGAGCCAAAGACACAGACCGGGCAGGGGGTAGACCGCGGCTACAGGGACCAGTTGTTCTTCGCTGGCTGTATGTTGACCAGTTTTCTTTCTATCTCCTTAACCTTGGTCAGTCCTCAGATCCCTGGGTCCTGAGGGGGTTGGGAAGGGGCAGGGTCTTCCCTGGACAGAGGCCGGCACCAATTCAAAGGAGGCCCAGAAGACTAGGAGTCAGGCTGGGCATCTAAAATTTGGCCAAAGACCTGTGCCAGCCGCTTCCCCTTGCACTGGAGTTCCCAGGGGGTCAGGGTGCATTCACTTTTCTCCCCCAGGCCATCTTCCGGGAGGGTCTGGAGGCGCCGTCCCGCAGCCTCGCCCCCACCCCGGCCACCCCGGGCCCGGCTAAGCTGGGAGCGCGACGGCGCAGGAACGCGGCGCGGAGCCAC